TATATATTTGCAATGAAAACGATCTGATGATGTGACACACATACATAACACATACTGAGAGATCTCATGTCCCACGATCCCGCCTTCTAACTTTCCTACCCCTTTCCTATGTTCACGTTTCTTCACTGAGTTTAACCAGGGCCAGTTTAAGGTGGAGACTAGTAGGCTCAGCAGTGTGCACAAAGTAGAAACAATGACTTTTCCCTCATCTAGAAAATATCAATATAGTCCAGCAATAAAGAGGTTGGTCCTGTGTGTACTTCTTCCATGAGTTACAGTTGATATGGTCAGTTCTCTGGGGGGTCAGTCCAGTGACTATGGCTGTGAACATGCTTGCAATGGTTCTGTCCAGTCTACAGTCCATTTTTTGAGTCAGGGTCTTGCTACATAGCTCAGGTTGGCCTCCAACTTAGGAATCCCCTCCTGCCACAACTTCCTGTGCACTACCATGCCTGTCTAGCAAAGAAATTCAGAATTTGAAAGGAAGACAAGTTCATAACTAACCTGGAACTCAACAAATTACTATTCTTAGCCATAAAGGCAGTACACTGAAAGTAAGGGCCTCGCATATGAAGTCATAAAAACGGAAGACTTTCTTTTAGAAGCTTTAGATATAGTGAATACAATTTTGTATATAAAATATTTTAATAACATACACATATAAGAATTGTGCACTTTTAAGTTTATTTTCATTTACTATAACATGAAGTTAATAGACATATAGTTTAAAGTAACAAAGTGTTATCATTGATAAGGATATTTTAGTATAGCCAGAGATTTAACATTCAAAGTTTACTTACTTTTAAAATGTAAAACGCACAATTATAATAGTCAGATCTTACAATTTTAAAGTTTTAACAAAACATTTGCAAGTAAATTCAAGAAATCCTATATGTAAGACAAAAATAATACTAACAAAGTACCAACGGATTAGACAATGCCATTTGATCTGTTTTCTTCTAGGGAGCGGGGTAAGAGTCCATGAGAATAGGGAAATAGTCACTTTTTAACCATGGTTTAGAGCTGGTAATGTGACGTAGTCTTTGTAATAGTGAAGAGTGCTCACGTGTAGTAGAGTAACACAATGAGGAATCAGCTTAAGAAAGAGCACAGCCACAATCTCTTATAGGCTCTTCAGTCACTGCTGAATAGTTTAGTATCCAGTGTTTTTAAAAGTACAGTTTCAACTAAGATGAACCAAATCTCACCGACATCTAGAAATGGTTTCTAAGCATGCCATATGCATGAAAGAGTCTCCTTTGTTACTGTGAAATAGGTGCAGGCCTGTTTTCAGTGTGAACAGTAGTGATGGAGAGGTTTGGCAATAAGTACATTTAGAACAGGTGATTGCCTTGTGTGCACTGCCCTATGATGTGCCCTCCACACGAAGAAAACATATTTATTAGATATGTACAGCTCTTTTCATGTGTGTGACCTCACTTGGTAGTTATGTTGGTGTTTGGGTTAGTGGAAAAATTAAATTACCTAGTGACTTCAAACCCTGTTTCCACAGAACATCTGTGCTCCGTAAGCTGAGTCCCAATGTGCCTTCTACAATCAAATAATAATGCTGCTTGTCCAATTCAGAGAGTACATTTCACAGATTTAAGTTAATAGATTCAATTTTAAGATTTGTCTACCATAGATTAAAAAAAGTCTTTGTTACCGCTTACTCATTGAAATGTTAACAGAAAAAGCGCTTGAGAACTATGAAATATTATATTTAAATTAGAAGATTTAAAAGTTTGTATCAGTATAATATACTGTTTATGGAAATATGCCTTGATAGCTTTGATCTTATACTAGACATCCATATCTTCTCATAGCAAGTGTGAATTCAGCATGTAAACATTTTAAGATACCCAAAAGGGTTAGGAATTTCCTGCCTGTTGTTCTTGAATGTGCCCGAGAACCACTGTATCAATGTCCAGCTCCAAAACTCTCTTTGGCGTCTGGGCCAAAAGCATGCTGTCAGATACATCATCAAGGACAGGGTTCCATGGTAAGATCCCTGGGATTTTACTCTAAAGTAAACAATATGGCAAGATTCCAGGACAGCTGCTACTAATGCTCCCATTTTAAAAATGCTTACCAGATAGCTTAAATATTTCATACTAAGAATTTTTATTTGCATGTATTACAGTATTATGACTTGGGAAAAACTTGCAATATATCTGCAGGCAGCTCTCTTTAAAATAATGACACTTTAGCTCCTAGCACAAACAGCCCTGAGAACAGTGCGTTTGAATTCCAGCTCAACTAGACATAATCTAATTGAGTAGCCTTAAAAGTACAACAACAAATTCTGGAAAACTTATAAATTAAAAAACAACAAAAATCAAACCAACATTTGCGGCACTACCAGACTACAGTACATTTAAGAGTTGGAAGGACTTTGAGAAGTGAACAAAGCTATGTGCGTTTGTACACAGTCTCACACTGTGTGCTAATGAAAAGCATGTGCCCCCAAATTTTCTAAACATCGCATTGCAGCATGTTCTCTTGAAGATATCACATCTGGCTGCAGCATTTTGGTCACTGATATAAAGCACTGGTATAGAAATCTTACTACAAAGGGGAACGGAGTCAAGAGCTAGGTAACCACTTCAAGTGACTGGCAGCCCCCTAGGGGGCATCAAGGACACAAAGGCCAAGTCAAAGCCAAAATGGTCTGACCTAGGTTGGAGGGCAAATAATTGTACCAGTGTGGCAAAATCTTCATGACAGAAATTAAGCTGTTATTCAAACACAAATGCTCACCCTGTTAATACTGTCTAAATGGCAAAGAAAGAAAGAAACGTGTAGGTGCGGATGCATGGGGATGTCTCAACGACCTCCATTCCTGACATGGTGCCTGGGAGACTGCAGATCTGCTACACGTACAATAAATACTAGGAATCAACTGTTAGCATTTCTCTGATGTCAAAAGAAGTAATTTCTTTTTTCTGTTAAAAAATAATTGTTCCCTGCTTCCCTTTAATATAATTTATAAAGCTTTACTCAATGAAATATTTTGCTTTAAGAGAAACATCTCCTGACTTATGTGAAAATAAACAGTTCTGTATCTTTAAACCCTATAGTTACATGTTGGAATATGTACACTTATATATTTAAAATGAAATACTTAGGCCTAAGTAGCTTTTGCCATTCAAGGTGTGGAGCTAGAGGTACATTGCTCTAATTTAGATGCATACACTACAATGAAAAATAGAGATGCATGTGAAGTTTGATAAGTTAGGAAGGATAGGGCATGCTACTCCTGAAGAAATACGAAATCAAAACACCAGTGTGGCTACTTATTGGCCAGACAATGACCAGAAGACAGCAGAGAGAAATGACTTCCTGGAATTCCTGTGGGTACCATGTTAATCAGTCCCACCAAGGTACATCCCAACAGCAGAAATCTAAAGAGGGATAGAGCAGATACCTGGAAAGAATTCAGCCTCATTCCTAATTGTGCTTTGCATGGGCAAAAGCTAAAGGGTCACACTAAAGTCAACTGGCTACAACTTCACCTTCTTGTGCTTTCCTGGCACTTCTCTTCTAGGATCTTGTTCCATCTGTGGATTGGTCTTTCTTGTTATCAAAAAGAGAATGATACTTTTTGATAACAAGACAAGATTTAAAACTGCATAAATTAAACATCTAAAATCTTGGAGTCTTCCATTTATAATGCTATTTCAAGTTGCTGATTAGATAAGTCACATTGTTACACATTTTTTCTAGATGGGAACCAAGGGTCCAGACATGAGGAAAGGGACCTGAGAGCCAGCGTCAGAGAATCAAGGTGTCATGGAGAAGGATTCTGCTCTAAGCTGCACTCCAATGCCATGATTGTTACTTCGTCTGTTCCTCACCAAGCCCACAGCTATGTCTACAATTTTAGACACAATTTACACATGATCCAAAAGTCTAAAGAGAAACAGGAGCATTACCTACAACACAGTAAAATAATCCGAGTCACAGAATCCTTTCCTAGTTGTATTTCACATTAGTAATAGAATTAAGTCACAAGAGAATAAAAGTATATACACACACAAAACAATTTTCAAATAAGGTAATCTTTCTTCCATAGTTTACTCCTATTCCACAATGGAAAAAGTGTACATATATTTAAAAATCAATTTAAAGTCAAGAATTCCAAAGCAACTTTAAAATTCCTAATTTTAGTCTAATGTTGAAAACAAATTACTTTAAAAAATGCTGGAAGGGCTGGATTGCCAACATCATGACCACTTAGGCATTACGGCTGGAAGTAGTGGGCGTCTCTGCAAAGGTCACTCCTGTGCTGAGGCAGAGGCTGGGGACATAGCCAAAAGCAAAAAAACAACCAGAGCTTCTTTACTTTGTGTGCTGATTAAAAGGTCTTAAATAAAAGCTCCAGCATTAACCCCTGCATTGCCTCTGCCCCTGTGTCTTCCTCACCGCTTGGAGGACTTGCTCAGACTTACTCAGCAGTTCTGTTCCCACAATCAACCAAAACCACTATGTAGGTCTGTCATCACCAATCTGGCACAGGAAAACATGATGAAGGTAACACATGGGATGCCTGGCCACCAAGAGAATGACATTTTTTTTTTGATAACAAGAGTTTAGTTTCAAGATGTGTATTTGCTACACAGACCACTTTATAATCTATGAATTCTAGATAGTAAGTCTAAAATCAGCACAAAGCAATTCAAATGAAATGCATGATATTTCCATTCCACAAGATGCTACATTGCTGATTTAAAACCCTGGTTTGTTAACCACTTAAGTTCAGGAGAGATTTGCTCAGACAAGTGACATTTACTGAAGCTGTTGTATTTGTTTCTTATGGTCACATGATGAAAACCACAGGAGTGTTATAGGAAAGATACTTATAAAATTATACATCTTGGTATACTCATTTAAACTTACTGCTTGCAAACCTAAGCCAGCACATTTTTAAAACAATAAAAACATAACAAACATGAGGTTGCTTATGAAGGCCATAGCTTTGGGACAACTAGATCCAGACCCAGTAGACTTGCTTGTGCCAATGGTCCTGCCTATTTGCAGGGCTTTATGGCTACAGCATATTCTTCACTCATGGCGCACATGACAGACACCTAAGAGGAGAAAGGGCAGGCGGAGTTACTCAGGAGGTCATACACAAGAAAGATGTGCAGAGTAAATACTGTATACTTGTAAATGTTTTATGTTGAATTGGGAAAGGTACAATCCACAGAAATTCTCCTCCCCGTCTACCTTCCTATTTCTTAAACTCATAGGTGGATCTCCAAAACAATATGGAGTTCCCTGTCAATCCCGAAGAAAGAAAACCAACCAACCAACCAACAGCACCTCCCAAACTTGCTACTTCCTCTGGTCATAGGCCTTTAAGAGTGTGGAGATCCTTTCAACATTTCAACAGTGCTTTGAAGTTACAGTTCAGTTTATGAAATTTATATTATTGTTGTGTTTGTGCATGTTACCAGACAAAAAAATTCCTTTTTTTTTTCCCTGAGACAGGGTTTCTCTGTGTAGTCCTGGCTGTCCTGGAACTCACTCTGTAGACCAGGCTGGCCTTGAACTCAGAAATCTGCCTGCCTCTGCCTCCCAAGTGCTGGGATTAAAGGCGTGCGCCACCAGTGTCTGGCAAAAAATTCCTTTTATTGAAGGTGAAGAAGCACACATACAACAAGGCACAGAGAAAAAGCTTGCTCATAGCAGAGGGGCACTGGGAAGCTGATGTTTCCCATAGTCTTTCATGCTAACTTGTCCAGGGCCTGCGGTTTCTGCAATGGTTCTAAGACACAGCCCACCATAGGCCTTACCTGTACATCTTCACCTGCATTATATTTCCCTTCTATTTCTTTGCCCAGTTCACCTTCTGGCAGCTTAAGATCCTCCCGGACTTCACCAGTTTCTGTCAGCAGGGAAAGGTAGCCATCCTGAATGCATATGAGCTATTAGAAGAAATTACAGGTGCATACTGATTAGATCACATCCACCTTGTTGTCATGTTTACACAGCTCAACTGCAACACACATTAGTGTGGATGAGAACACAGCAATATGTTAACAGATTTGTGGCATTTAAAAATGCTAACACAGCTTAAGCCTTCAGTACTAGCATTAGGGATGCAGAGGCTAGCCTAGTCTACACTGCAATCTCTAAGCCAGAAAGCCAGAACTAAATAGTGAGACTCTGTTTCAAACAAACAAAGAAAAACAAAACAAACAAAAACGAACAGGAAAACGCAGGAGGACAGGGACACACCTAGCAGAGATGTGTAACTCACTTCCTGGAACCAGCCTCCTCACTCTCTGCACTGCCAAGGCATTTATATTCACACACACAATACACACAGAGCTATTCTTAAGAAAAATCATCTATTTCAGTAAGCTTTTAAATGCTTTAGAAAATATCCAAGTCAGAAAATATAGGCCTATCTTCCTCTTACCACCACACACGTGCATGAATATACTGTGAGCAAATTTTCCTGTTAGTGGGCATAAATTAGTTTTTCACTATTAAAATGACGTACTTTATAATTTGGTTACAAGCAAAGTGAAGTAGAAACTTTTGGTCTTCAGGCCATTGCTAACAGATTTAAAAAAATATTTACATATATATAATATTTTGTTATTATTTACCTACACTACCATCTCTTGATCCCTCCTCTGCAGCTGATCTCATTAATGCCTCTTCTATTTTTGTCTTTTTTATTTCTTGGTGACCTGGTAAGTTTCATTAGAATTGCTTATGGAAGTGGGGAAGAGGTTTTTTACAGGAGCCTGGGCACCTTCTCAGTGGCTACATGACAGAAGTAAATGTCTCTCTTTCTACTAGTGCCCAGTGACCATCTATAGACCCTCAGGGAGGGGTAGCAGTGACACACTTTTAACATGACCTTATCTTATGTTATTGATGAGACAAACCCAGTCATGATCTAACTTGTAGAAAGCATATTTTGATATAATGCTTTAAAAATTAGTTTTTCTATTTGTGTGTAGTTGTGTGCATCTGTGTCTGTATCTGTGCAGATCACAGAAGTCGAAGTACCTAGATCCCCTCAAGATGGAGGTACAGGCAGGGTGTTGGGAATCAAACTTAGGTCCTGCAGAATAGTTGTCCCTGCTCTTAACTGCTGAGCTGTGTCTCCAGCCCCTTGACACAACTCTTTTATTTCAGGAAGGAGGAAAACAGCAAGTCCCCACCATCAGTGTGCCTACAAGTCTGAGAGACTTTGCAAAAGCCATTTATCTCTCAGACTATCTGCTGCTAGCACACATAAAAGGAATGAGCCATGGGCCTTGATGTCTCTAACCAGAGTGATTAGAAGGCAGCAGACCATGCAGGAGGAGTGTTCAAGTGCTCCTCCATCTGCACCACTTCACTGATCACAATTTTCAGACATAAATTCTACAGTGTGGTTATCCCAAGAATGAGGACACACTCTTTGTTACTTTTCAAACTAATCTGTTATCCATTTCCAAATGTGCCAGTTGTTCTGATCTTTTCCTGGATGACACCTATGGCTTAGTGCTGTCATGTGGGTTGTGTTTTCTTTTACGTGGAACAGTTTGATCATCCTGTCTTTCAAGGCACTGACACTCATTTGGTTAACAAAATGTCTCTCAGTCTGGATCTGCCTTGTTACCTCAAAATTCATGTAATGCGTCTTTGGGCAGAAATACTACCTAAATGATGTGTCCTCGGAGTATCTATCCCACTACTGGGGACGCTAACTTTGACCAACTGGCTGCTAAGGGTGGTATCTGCAAGATCTTTATAGTCTAAGTATAACTTGCTCTTAGAAGAAGGACGAAGCCAATGGTGTTACTGTTAAATCTTGAGTATGTTTTGTGCAAAATTCTATCTTTCCTCATGGCCTTTCCAGACTCCTGACAAGCAGGGTACTAGAATGTAGCATCTTTTCTTTACTGAAAGGTCTTATTAAAATAATGGAGGGCTACTTGGAAAACAGGCAATCTCACATCCAGAGTGGGAACCTGGGAGCTTTTTACTAGAGGATGAGGAACTACCAAGATCATTAATTAGGTACATTCCAAAGGACTCAGGAATTAGCATGACTAAGCTCCCATTGGCCAGTAACAAAACAACCCAAAAATCAATATGGATGACAAAAAAAATGTACTGAAATGCAAGTGTGTTGTTGCCTGAGTTCATAGTAAAATATCAATTTATTGGTCAACTTCAGTTGGTACTGAGAACAGGTCATCTCAAAACTGATAACCGGAGAGGGTGAGATGCTTCAGTGGGTAAAGGAACTTGCTGCCAAGGATGACAATTTGAGTTTGATGTCCAGGATTTACAAAGTAGAAGGAGAAAGAACTCCTTTATGCTTTCCTGACCTCGACAGTTACATCACAGTATATGTATGTGGCCCTCTGTGTACACATGTATGTGCACATGCATACATACACACAGATAAATGTTTTTTCAAATATTAAAATCTCTGATAATAAAAGGCAGAGGGAAGTATTTATCCTGGCTTCCTCGTATGTATGTATATAGTATGTATATACTCACACACGAGGATGTACTCAGGTGATACAGCCCAGGTCCTCGAGGTAACAAACCAACAATCGATGAAGAGTTTCCATAGCAGTAGTCTGGCTCTCAAAGAAATGGAGGAGTGTCTATCATGATCACTCTTTCTTTCCTTTAAGTTAATGGAGTGAGGCAAAGATGATATGTATATAATAACCTTACAGAAAGAAGTACGATTCTACGGGTGTGTGTGGGGGTGCATGCCCTTGACCCCTTAATCCCAGCACCCAGGAGGCAGAGGAGGTGGGTCTGAGTTTGAGGCTAGCCTGGTCTACAGAGCAAGTTCCAGGACAGCCAGGGCTACACAGAGAAACCCTGTCTCGAAAACAACAATAAAAACAAAATGAAGAAAAGTAAGATTAATTTACCTAATACCTGATGGGTATACAGAACTTCAACTGTGGAGTAGCCTTACTGAAGCCACGACCACAAAGAAGGAAACAAGAGCTAATCTGACTCTGAGTTCTCTGTCTTAGAAATACAGAAGAGGAGCTGGAGATGGTGAGGACACGCAGTTAGTAACATGTAGACTACTGCAAATCTACAGAACAAATGATCCAGTCCCTTCACTCAGACCCTGAAGGCAGGTAACGGGGATGGAGGGGGAGGAAGAGAATTCAGTGCCTGTGAGAGAATACAGACTCACGAGCCCTATACACCAACCTCACTGTGTAGACCTTAGTTAGGCCCTGCATTAGTTTCCTACACTATAAATCAGAACCAGGAACTATCACACTCACAACAGCAACCCAAAACAACCAGCAAACTGTGAGAATGCTGAGCCCCTCTCCAGGAACTAACAACTGCTTTAGGTCCAAAAGTGGGTCTGGCTTTGTTCAGTCCTTAGCCTTTAGAAATTTATAATAAAATATAGGTAAAATGCTAAATATCTGAGATTTGCTTCAAAATAATCAAGAGGAGGAGAACATATGAAGAAATACCAAATGTGGGATACAGGCCAGCATAGTAGCACATGCCTTTAATCCTGGCACCTGGGAGGTAGCAAGAGGTTTGTGAGTTCAAGGCTAACCTTAGTACTTGAAGAGATCCTGTCTCAAAAACAAACAGTCATAACAAAAAGGCAATATTACAGAAGAGGAGGAAAAGACTGAGAGACAGCTGTCTGGGATGACTGCTGTGTGAAATAGTATCATCTAGACAAAAAGAGCCTTGTACTCATGGGCTCACAGCGGCTCTGGTTGCCTGCACAAGACTTGCACACGATAAGCCATCAACACTCCAACAGAAAGAGGGAAAGAACATACGAGGCCCTACGCTAACTGCGAAGCCAGTTGATGGCCACTAGAAAAGAAAGTCAGTTTTCTTCAGCAGGGTGGACCTTGGTTGGTTTCCCATTCTCCTGTGGATGGTGCCCTATGCCATGTGCATATGACAGCACTAATACAATTGTATATATACAATATTGTATATCAATCTATCAATCATCTATTTATCTATCCATCTATCTACCTATCTACCTATTATCTATCTATCTATCCATCTATCTACCTATTATCTATCCACCTATCTACCTATCATCTATCTATCTATCTATCATCTATCTATCTATCTATCCATCCATTGATGTGAAGTTCGGAGGAGACGGGTTGGCCCAGGAGGAATTGGAAGAAAGGGAATGGACAGCATCTAACTCCACTGCATTAGTCTATGAATTACCAAAGAATAAATAAAATGTTTTTCCAAGGAATGGGGTACAGATAAGGCAAGATTTGTCATATATTGATAAGTATTGCACCTGGTTGATGTGCATATAGGATTTTGAAACTTAGAAAACTCTCACACAAAAGTAAAATACAGCCAGGGAGAATGTCTGGCAGGTAAGAGTGCTTGCTACAGAAGTCTGGTGTCTTGTTTGATTGCAGGAACCCCCATGGTGGAGGGAGAACTGACTTCTACCATGGCACCAGAACAAAATCAAACAGTAAGATGGATGGGAAAAAAGGATGCAGGATTCTAGAAAGCTCGGAGGCACAGTGGGCTGAGAAAGAAGGGATGCAGAAGGATTCAGGGGGCATGAGTAGCTACAGGTCCTGCCAGTGATGTGCCCAAAGTAAGAAGAACATAGAGGCAGGGATTATGGGAAGGGTGTTTTTTTTCCTTTTGCCTCTGCTTGTATTATTAATATACTATAGACGGCAGGGGAAGATTATCAATACGAGTGCTTCCTTAGCTCCAGCTTCTGAATTTGGGATTCGAGTTCTATTCCAAAACAAGCAGCCATCACTATGCACAGTAAGACTTCTTTCTGTCAACATCTGCCTTCTTCCCCTGGCACCCCTCAGATACTTCCCAGAAGTTCCTGGTCCCTGGAACAGTGAGTTCTTGAACATTATTATATCACCTAAATAAATAAGACAACCTCAGACCCAGCAAGTCACTATGTTGGGTGCGCACAATACACGCCATCAGCATGTGGAGAAACCCTGCATGAGATGATGTGAATGGGTCCTAGAGCACCAACAGCTTGATAAACGGCTCGAACTCCGAAAGTACTTTCTCCCACACTGACCACTTCTCCCCTGGAGCTTACACCAGTGTTCTGATGGAGAACTCTCCCTGACCAGTTGACTGTAAAAACAAGAATGGTTTATAATGGCCATGCATAATACAACGGACCATGGAGAGAGGGCTGTGAAAAATGGTGGGGGTGGGGAAACTTGTACTGTGTGCATTTCTACTGAACATGGGCAAAGAGTCAAGAGCTGGGTTGCAAAGTCAAGGATGCTAGAAAACCAAGCTACAGAAATTGTCAGTGAGGTCTAGGGTAGTGGTACGTGTACAGACCTCTCCAAATGTTAGCAGATGTCCAGTGGCGGGTGCCAGCTGTATATCTGAGGCTCTCAATTAGATAAAAAGTAGAGGATGACATTCAGCTTTTTGTTATTGCTGCCTCAACAGCTTAATGACACAGCTTTCTCTCACTAAGGCTGACAGGGCACTAAGCTTCACAGAAAGGAATGATACAGGGTCCCTGATGTGGCAGCTTTGCCCAGTGGGAACAGCTAGTACTTGATAACACTGCAGAAGCAGGGCATTACACTTCTTCCAGTAGACTCAGTCTGCAAATGGCTTTGCTCTTCCTGCCTGTGGTGCTTCTGCTAAAATTCCACCAGGGTTTAAGAGTATGCCTTATCTCCGTTACAGCACCTCATACTTTCTGAGTAAAATACTTGGCTATAGGCAAAGTAATGAAACAGTGAGATGCTGGACTGAGAAGTCGATGGTTCATGAACTCCACCTCTGCACAGACTGCCTACTGGACTGACCCTGAAGACTCATTTATGGTACCTGCTGGGTAATGGTTTGTGGGTCTAGGGTTCTGTATTACAGGTTACAGTATATTACATGCTGGTCTTTTTCCTATAAGTAGAACATACTGACTTAGCAACCTAACATGACTTTTTCATTGTTATTCTTAACAATCCTGTAGCACATTTGCTGCTTTTCCCTATAACACCGGGCTCTTCTGGTACAGTGGTTTTCCATTCCCAGAGAAAGAATGGTTCCATGAAGAACATGAGATATTCACAAACACATTAAAATGATAAAAAAGGCTTTAAAGCACAGGGAAATCACAGCATCAATACCTTCTTTGTTACTACTATTTTAACTTGCAGCATGGAGTCTGTGAGATGGCTCAGGGGGTAAAGGTGCTTGCCTACAGGGCTGACGTCCTGCCTTACGTCCCTAGGACCTACATCTTTAGGAGTGAGAACTGACTCCTGGGGACAGGCCTCTGACCTCCTCATGTGTGTGCACATGCAGGTACACATATACACTAAATGTTTGACCTTCATGTGTACATGTGTGTGAGCACACACACACACACACACACACACACACACAGTCTGACTTCCACATGTGTATGTGGTGTGTATGTACATGTGCATGTGTGCATGCAGGCACACAAATATACTAAGTGAAATAAATGTATAATATGGATTTAAAAGTCCTAGTTCTGGCAATCCACTAATCATCTGAAGAGCTATAACATGTACTTTATATTTCCTATACTATGAAGCTTTCCCTATAAGGAATGGTCTTTAAATGACAGATAAAAGTACAGCAAACCCAGAAAATATTTGATTTAGAGTAGAGTGTATAGCAGTACAGACATTTTTTTAAAATATGATTCCAAAGAAGAAGCCAAACAAGACATTTCTACATTTAACAAATTGGGAACGCCCTCAAAGGATCTGGGATCTATTTTATGCCACCAGAGAGCCCCAGACAATTATAACTTCTTTTGAGAAAACTAATGAAAATTACCAATTGTAATCTGAGCCAATCTTGGAATGGGAGTCAGGAGACAGACTTTTTTTGTATCCTGAACTTATTTTAAGAACATGCAAATTACATCTGTAAATATTAACATATTTTCTCCCAATTCTTTTATTTTTTTAAATGATTAAAATGAATAGATGTTCACAATCCACTTTGGCTGGCTGCCAAACTGGCACTCAAAATATTGAATTCAGTAGCTGTAAAGGAACTGCACGTAGCCAGATAATAACAGAAGCTGGGATTTAACAAAGGAACATGGATAGAAAAGTGAAGATCACCAGTGCATAATAAATAAACTAGAAAGCTCACAGAACTAAGTTTTTAAATGAGTGACCAGAAATAAATATCTGCTGGCAATTTTATAACAGGGAAACTGAGGTCCTGAGTTCTTCCTACGTCCAAAGTATCCACTGAGCCTCAAAACAAACCTAGAGAGGTTAGATTTCACTTCTCAATTTTATCAAGTAAAAGAGACAAGAGAGGTCAGGTAACTTGCCAACTGAGGTCACACCATAGTGAGTCCCAAAGTACAGACCTAGATTCAGCGGCCTGACCAACACCATCCTTGGCTATCTGCTCTGCCATGTAGACTTCTAGGGCAGGACTAGGGGAAACTACCAAGGTACCTTCTTGGTGCATGCTTGAGGAGGCACCCAATCACCTCAACCACAGAACACTTAAAGGAAAACTTAACATGAGAATGTAAAAATCACATGACAAAACAAGAATCTGAGATGGAGATAGGACCACAATTACTAATTCTTCTGCCCAAGGCTGATATGTGGCTTGGCATTGTTATTAGACTGTGTGTGTGCCACTTCTGCACAGGAGTTGAGTACACTGGGACTTTACTAAGTACCCAAATAAACTCCAAACAAAGTTAGTCCTCTGATGTTAAATTTTAAGCTTCAATCCAATGGTTTGTTAATTTGGTAATATTATCATGTAAACTGCTGGTGTAGCCTGCTGAAACATCCAACAGGTAGAAACATGGAATAAAAACTACTGGATATAATGAATACTGAGATTTCAAAGAGCTCACAAAGCAGGATGAGAAAAGAAACCCATTCTGACCAAAGTCAATTCTGTATTTAGCCTTAATCTGACTTGTTAATCTTACACACTGCTACACTGAATAAAGGTGTATTTGTTTAACTGGTGCTTCCTGAGCACCTACAATGTGCCACATCTACAACCAATGATCTAAGAATGAAAGTAGGATTCTGATATAGGAAATGTGAAGCAGAACAAAAGTACTTGCTGTTATGCATAGCTAGCTATGGTCACACACTCTCTCATCCCACCCACGTCACCGTGGTTTAGAGAAGACACACACTTTGTAAAAGACCATCTAACTAGAAAGTGTCAGAACTAGATCCCAAGCAAGCCCAGATCTACTTGACTCAAAATGTCACTTCCTTTGGTGATATAACTATCAAAAATATTCTAAATTTGTACAGAAGACATTCATAAGTGTCACTGTGAAAATATAAAATAATTCACCAAATTAAAACTAGAAAAATATGTTTATACATGGATAGCATTAAAGGAAGTCATTGAGTAAATACAGTTGATATCAACCTTCTTAAATCTTTCTGATTCCCCTGCCTCTGGATACTGGATTTAAAATTCTTATTCACACTTATCTATCTAGTGAATGTATGTATGTGGGTATGTGTGCTTCCCAGCTCACATGTGGAGAATAGTTTTCTCCTTCTGGAATTGAGCTCCAGAATCAGGCTTCACAGAAAGTGTCTTTACTAACTAAAGCCAACTCACTGGTCCAACAAAGCATTTTTAAATTGCAGGAATAGAGGCTGGAGATGTAGCACAACTGTAGGGTGCTTGTCTAAAGCATGCACAAGGCCCTGGGTTTTGACCTCCAGTATAGGATAGTCAGGCTTGAAGATGCAACCTATAATCTCAGCATTCACAGACAGGGGTAGGAGGGTCAGAAACTGAAGATCATCCTTGGATGAATAGTGAGTTCAAGGCCAGCTTGAAATATATGATCCCCTATTTCACAAGAAAAAAGGCACAGAATATTAACAACAGAACAGAACAGAACAAAACAAAACACCATTTATCTAATCTGTATAAGTGAAGTCTAGTAATTGGTAAGGAATATACTCTATAAAACTACTCTCAAGTCTTGTCAAACTACTGCTAAAGAGGGTGTTTACACACTTCTGAAACACTGTTAAGGAAATCAGTACTTACTTGATAATCATTTCTCTTAATATTTGGAACATCCATGTTGTGAGTAGAAGGGCAAATATCTTCATATTTTTTGCCAGTGAAAATGTCAATTCCAACAAGGTGTACCTGACAGAGCAAAGAACAACAGGGAACATGTTTAAGCTCTGTCAGCTATGTCACCCTATACGGGAGCATAATCCTAACACTGATAGTAATGGATCCTTTCATCTCTTTCCAAGGTCATCTTACTTTCTTTAAAAAAGTTGCAGTGGCACAGAACTGAGATTCAGTAAGTACCCAAAACCTGAACAGTTTCATGACATCATACATGTCAGCACTTCAATTACAAGAGTCCACAGAAAGTGAAAACCAAGTCTCTTAGAATTACAAGAACAGGCTTGTTTCAACTAAAGAAGATGTTTTAGATCATCAGGATTAAAAAAGTTTTAGTTTCCAGTTAATGAAACATTCTAAGGGCCCAATTAAGGGAGAGCTTTATTGAGAGTAATGCCTGATCATTCAAGAGACTGAGGGAAGAAAACAAAAGTTATTTTAAATATAGAAACCTCATGATGCAGAATGGAACACAAATGATCTTATTGGTGAAGCCAAAGGATGACCTGGAAGGGCCTACCTTGGCATGACCATGCTTCCCAGTCTTGGAAGTTGACATCTCCACGATTTTGCATGGTCGCCCTTTGAGCACCACGAAGCCGTTTTTGCGCAGGGCTGAGCACTGCATAGGATAAGTGCTGGAAGCCCCTGCGTCTCCAGTGGTGAAATCAATTTCGTCTGCCATGGTGAGCTGGGGAGATGTGTGGGTTTTCTGAGGGAACTCTGCGAAAAGTTTGTTCGCTTTTTAATAACGGGCATGTAGGCAGGGGTATGTCTCATTTTGAAGACAGGTAACGAGCGGACCATCACTAGCCCGTTATTTTTGCATTTATAGGACACCCACTCTGAGTGGTGAATACTTTGCCAATCAGGCCTCTGAAAACTTTTCCAGCCCTTGGTGGGAGGTGGGGAAGGAAGCCGCAGAAGAGCTCGCCTGAGAGTGAAGGCGACACGCGCCGGGCCGGCAGGTCCTGTCCCCACTACCCCACCACAAGAAGTGCCCACGACCTTCCTGCGCCGGGATGCGGGGCCCGGCGCCTCCCTCCGCCCCATCCCCGCTGCCAAGGCATCAGCCAGGCCGCAGGTCTGGGGAAGACCGGGGCACGGGCACCCGGCCGGCTGCACCTGGCCCTCAGCGCGCCTAGGACCCGCAGCGGCGCCGCCCTGGCATCCCGGTTCGGCCCAGCGGCGAGGGCCCGAGCCCAGGCGGTCCCGCGCTCGCCCGCCTTCTAGTTTCCAAGCATCTCGGCTCCTCCCCTCGCCGGGACCCCAGCATCACCCGCTGCATCCCCCGCCCCGAGGCCCGGCCCCAGGTCTTCACCTTCCGTCCCGCACCGCACGTCTTTGCTGCGTCCGCCGGTCCCTGCGGCTGCGGCGGCGCTGGCGGCCGCGGCTGGTCCAGGAGACGGGGCGGGGCCGCCACGCTTCCCACACTCGGCTCCCCGCCCCGGCCCGGCCCGCCCGGGCCCGCCCCGCCGCGGCCACACTTCCGGGATAGGCCGGGGCGTGCCACAGGCCCCGCCTCCAGATCTCCCATTGGCTCAAAGCTTCCCGAGGTCCCGCCCAGTCACGTGAAGCTCGCCCTGGCAACCCCACGTGCTGCGGATTAGTGCACTTCCGGCGTGCTGAGCTGCTTGCAGTCGACTGCTTGAAGCTTCGCTGTGTTCCCGGGCGGGATGCATCCTCATCTTAAGTTTGGGGCCCAGATGACCTTGGGGACGACCATTAGGACCAGGTAGCTCGCTCTGGGCCCTAGTACGCAGGTGCATGGATGCTGTCACTTAATGGTCTTAATGCTCTGAAATTCCGCGGATTTTGCAAGTGTCCCGACTGTCGGTGGAGTGGAACTTTGATACAAGCTTCTGGTACAGCGTGCAGCCCTCCTTGGGGTTGGAATCCATGCTTGGAGCTCGCAGAGTTCTAGGTGTGGTGTGCTGTTTTGTGACTTTCCATTGTAGGTCCTCAGGGGACTAACACCCTATGGTGAGGTGCTGGTACAGCTTGTAGAGACAGCAGTGTTCCTAGGGGCAGGAAACCCCATGTGCTCCGAGATTCTACACTTTCTTTTGATCTTCCTGCCATCGGTGTGCCCTAGAGTTTGGGGTTTTGTTGTTGTTTGTATTGTTAAGGATTATAGACAAAGATCCCTGAGAAGTGTGTTTTCCTTTCAGAGTTTCACCATATCTTCATCTCTTACCTTGGAGAGAATCAAGGTAATTAACTTAACACCCCGCAACCTAGTTCATGTCCTTCAGTGATTTGGTATTGCTATCTTGTAAGCAAATCCAGTCTCATATTTACGTATGCAGAACATATTTCACTTGTGTTGTTTAGAAACAGTAAACACGTAGCTTCCTTAAAGTAAACTCCACCTCTTGTTACTATATGAAAAAGCCAAATTAGAACCCCGGGCTTCTGAGTTTCTGCTGCTTTTCCTTATACTGCCAAACTTTTCCCTACTATTGTTGTTGTTATTATTATTATTAATACTGCTGATAATACTTAAATAAGAATTACATAGTGTACTGTTTCATCTCCATTATTTAATCTTGACTACTAAAGTTTTTGTTTAATCTAAGGTTAATGTTAGAATTTATATGAAATAAGTTTTACTTTTAGTTCTGAGTTTTGAAAAAGAAAATCATATACAGCCAACCCCATAATTGAAATAGAGAATATTTTCTCATTCTAAGATTTCCTGTGCCTCTTGGTCATCAGCTCTGTTTTCCACCTTGCACCCAGCCAGACCTGCCAATCATTAACAGTTACTCTTTTATTCTCATTTTGAATTATGGGAAAAGACTGAGACAATGAAGTAAGTTGCCCTGAATCATAGAGCTTGTAAAAGTCAGAATTTAAGTTAAATCACTTCTTTGTCTATCACCATATTCACATAAGATTTGTATGTGGACCCAAATGACTAATTAAACAAATACAGTGACTTCTCCTGAGATCTCTGGAACACTGAAGTAGCAAATTCTGAGCCCTTGATTCTAGGAGAGTTACAGTATTAGGTTCCTTGTAGGTTCCCATGGCCACATTTTCATGGTGAGCCTGAAGGTATTTTATCTACACACTTGTCTTCTCTATTCTACACAACAGAACCTTGTGCATAGGAACACCAGAGAACTTTTCAGCATGGTATTTGGGGGGGCATTTCAAGCAGGAAAATCACCATCAGAAGGCATAAAGTGCAAATCAGAAAACAAAGCTCTGAAAAACATAGTAAATAGACCGGAAAGAACACGTACACACAGTTTGATAGTTGAAACCATAAAAGAGAAGACTGCTGTTTGGCCTCAGCTCAGATCTCCTGATGCAGAAATCGTGTTGTTCTGGAGGTTTTCTTTAGTGTCTTTATGCACACCCACAAATGTAGAATCCAAAAATAGTGAGGACTGAGTATGTTATTTATTTTTTTTGTAATTTACTGACTTACTTATTTCTAGATAGATAAAGTCAGCCCTTTGTCATAGGCTGCTTGCAGGCTGTCAGTCTAGTAACTTCCAAAGATAAATTAGTACAGATATAACTACAAAACACTGACAATAGGAGCTCCTCCTCTTTAGCCTGGGTGTTGATCAAGGGAAATCCAAGGTGATCTGCATGTAATTTTTGAGTTTCTTTCAGATAGGTCGAAAGTTTTTTTAAGCTCAAATTAATGTCCCATCAATATGTTTAGTTTAACCTAGTCAGTATGTTCCAATATTCTTCCACATGTAACTATAAAATTATTACTAAGCTGTTGTATATTCTTTTTTTTAAGTTAGTACTAAGTTTTTACAATCTGGTGTGTATTTTTCCTTTAACATCTAACTTCACAGTAGCCACATTTCAGGTGAATAGTAAGCTGTCTGTAGCTGGTGATGGATATCACGGATTGGAAAGTACAGCTATAGCTTCTCTGGAGGGGACAGTCTTACTTTGAGAGTTGAAGTTTGGGTAGAAGCTAGCAGTAGGAAGCTGTTAAAGTTTGGATGTGCAGTTTCTCCCAAAAGACAGATAGACCAAGAGCTTGGATCTTCAGCTGGTAGCACAATTTTGGAAGATTTCTGGAAACTTTAGTGGGTGGGACCTGACTGATGAGAACCTCTGAGGTTATATTCTCCCTTGCATCTTTCTGTCTTCTCTGCTTCTACTGTAATGGGGAGAAGATGCTTCCTGATACAAACTC